TGTATAATCTTAGCATTACCTCCCTTGACTTAAACTCCACACACCTGGAGATATACCCCAACATCCTATTGTTAGAACTATATTAAATATATGATGTTTTTTTATGTAATCAGTTAGACCTGAATTCACCATCATGTACATTGTAACAGCATGAGTTCACAGTGTAAAACAGTGAATGATAATAGTGGTAATAACAGTAACACGTCTAAAATTTCTAACAGCTTAAAGTAGGAATAGAAGCAGAAAAATGGAGTAGACAGAGAATAATGGGGATTCTTCTTCTTGCCCCCATTTCAGAGTGACAAAGTGTTAAGTGCAGTGCAGCGCTTAAGGGTCGGTTTGTGGCCTTTAGTTGTGGGTTAAGGGGGGGTTGAGACAGTGATGAGGCAGAGTGAGTGATCCTGGGGGGGCAGCATGGTGTTGAGGAGCCTGACAGCCTGGGGGTAAAAACTGCCACGCAGCCTGGCAGACCCGGCTCTGATGCTGCAGCATCTTCTCTCAGATGGCTGGAGTGTGAAATGACCATGTGAGGGATGTGATGGGTCCTGCACAATGCTGCAGACCTTGCAAAAAGTGGCTTGTAATGTTCTCTGCTGTCTTCACTACTCTCTGCAGGCACTTGCAGTCAGATTTGTTGCAGCTGCCATAGCAGATGGTGATGCAGTTAGTCAGAACACTCCTGATGGTGCCTCTATAGAACATGGTGAGGATGGGAGGGGGAAGGTTTGCTTCTTTGAGCCGCCTCAGGAAGTATAGTCTCTGCTGGGCTTTCTTGAATAAGGAGGTGGTGTTTTTTGTCCATGTAAGTTCTTCAGTTATGTCCACACCGAGGAACTTGGTTCTCCTTACAGTTTCCACAGCAGTACGGTTGATGCTGAGTGGGGTGTGGGCAGGACCTGTCCTTCTGAAGTCCACAATTATCTCCTTTGCCTTTTCAACATTGACAGATGGATTGTTGTCTCTGCACCTTGTGGACAGCCTTTCCACCTCTTCTCTGTATGCTAATTCATCTTCTCTGTTTATCAGTCCCACCACAGTTGTATCATCCAAAAACTTGATGATGACGCTGTTGGAGGTATTGCAGCCCATACATACTGACTGGGGCCTCTCTGACAGGAAATCCAAGATCCAGCTGTAGAGAGTGGCGTTCAAGCTTAACCCCCTCAGTTCCACAATCAGTTTTTGAGGGACATATTGAAGGTAGAGCTGAAGTCTATGAATAACATTCTGACATATGTGACTCTCTTATCCAAATGTGTCAGGGAAAGGTGACAGGCAGAGGCTATGGTGTCCTCAGTAGACCTGTTGGACCGGTATGCAGATCGGAGAGGGTCTAGAGAGGCAGGAAGATTAGTTGTTCTGTGTGACATGACCAGCCTTTCCAAGCACTTCATGATGATTGACATGAGTGCTACTGGGCAGTAGTCATTCAGGCCAGCCACTGATGGCTTCTTCAGTACTGGGATGATGGCGGTTAATTTCAAGCATGCTGGGACAGACCACTGGCTTAAAGAGGTGTTGAAAATGTCTGTGAGGACACCAGCCAGGTGGTCAGTGCATTCTCTCAGCACACGGCCAGGTATGTTGTCAGGTCCTGCAGCCTTGTGTGGGTTGACTCTGGATAGAGTACTTCTCACATCAGCTGTGGACAGACAGAGTAGCTCGTCACTGGGGGGAGGTGTCGGCTCCTTATTCTGTACATCAGAGTCTGCAAAAAAGTCGTTTAGCTCGTCTGGAAGGGAGACATCACCGCCACTGATGTGTGGGTTGGGCTTGTAGATCGTGATTGGCTGAATGCCCTGCCATATGCGGCGTGTGTCTTTGGTGCAATTGCTTCTGCGCATCCTCTGCGCATGTGCCTGATTGGCTATCCTAGCCAATAGCTCGGGACAGGTTGTCTCTATGCGTCCTGAGGGCAGCCTTGTCTTTAGATCTGAAAGCTGCATTTCTGATTCTTAGCTGTGTGTGCACTTCCCTCATCATCCAGGGCTTTTGGTCGGCTCTCGTGATCATAAATCACAGAGTTTATATACTCCTCCAAGTTGATGGTGTCACCATTTATAGCAGCCTTCTTAAAAATGTCCCAATCAGCAGATTCAAAGCAGTCTTGGAGCGCTGAGATGGCACCAGCTGGCCACACTCTTACTGACTGGTTTGGTGAGTTTCAGCAGGGATTTATACACAGGAACCTTGAACACAGATACATGGTCTGAGTAGCCGAGGTGAGGGCGGGGAAGGGCCTTGTAGGCCTCACAAACGTTTGTACAAACATTGTCCAGACAGCTTATCGACCATAGGAATGGAACTCGGTGGTTAAGTGAGGAGTGTCTGTATAGAGAATGCTGCAGCAGGACTACAAAATTAGCAACTCACTGTGGAGGCAGCGATTGTACAACATTTTTCCCGTTTTATTGAACATTGTATGTCAAAACAAGATAAAATAAAATAATACAGGTAATGCATGATGAAATTATTCATATACTTTTATACTAGCTGACACTGGAAGAAAAGAGAAGAAGGGAAAGAAGAAGGAAAGGAAAAGAAATGTCACGCTTGCCGGTGCATGGAACATAAAGAAGGGCGCAGGATGCCAAAAGTCGGGGCAAACACGGGATTTAATAGAGGCAGCAACAAAAGGATCAGACAACAAACGGGATGACATTACAATGACCGGACTGGGGAAACAAACGGAAACGCGGACTAAATACAATGGGCTAATGAAAACGATCAGGAACAGCTGGTAAACACGGGGAATCCACAGGGGGTTAATGAGGGGGCGTGGCACACTGAAGGAGCGGACGATCGGGGCATGACAAGAAAAAAGAATGAAGGAAAGAGAAGGAGTGAGCAAATACAGTTCAAAGTCATTTTCCAAAGCCATTTTTGGCCATAATCAAAGCTAGAACTTTATATTGGAGGCCAATTATCAACTAAAAGAAAGTCTTTATTAGGTTTTAAAATTATATTGATTATGCTTTGGCATGATGTGGCAGGAAGTACTGAGTTTATTATGCTCTCATTATACATTTGCTGTAAGAAAGGAGCAGCTTTTCAGTGAAAGTTTTATAAAATTCTGAGGTTAGACTGTCTGTTCCCAGCGGTTTATTATTTTTTAAGCAATTTATTGCACCAGACATCTCAGTTAAATCAATTGGGACGTCACAAAGTTCAGGATCCGCATCACTTATTCGCGTGATGTTTGAGAAGAAATCAAAAATCTTGGATCAAGACTGCTGACATACATATTATTAAAGAACTCAGTGCAGAAGTTGGCTATTTTCTTGACGTCATCTGCAACATTTCTATAAATCCTCACACACATACTGTAATGCAGTTGTTCCTGGCTTGTTGTCTTTCTAGCCTAAAGAAATAGGCTGAGTTCTGCTCACCTTATTCAAGCCATTTTTGCCACAATCTAACAAAGGCTCCTTCTGCCTTATGTTTATATATAATCATCCAATTTATTCTGTCACCTGCTACAATTTTTTCTGTATCAGTAAGACGATTGACTGGTTTGCAGGTTAAAGCAGTAATCTCATTTATAATTTTGTTTTCTTCATCTCTTCTGATTCAAGCCAAGTCACTACTAAACCTTCTGACATTTACAAGTTAGTATTACAATATTTTTTCTGTATTGGGTCTGTTCCAGTGTAAGTCAATTATTTATTCTATATTTAAAATAACTACTTTATTTCACAAGATTGAACTGTTTAATTTCCAGTATGAAGATATTTTATATCCAGTAGATGATGACAATATGGATATATGGATGTCAATGGCTTGGTGGTCAGAAAATGGTGAAGGTATAATGTTTGTTCAGATATTTCCTAATTCATTAGAAGTAGCCAAACATCAGTTTGTGACTGATTTGAAAAGGTGATATTATTCCATGTAAAAGACCTTTGAAGTGGATGGGTCATTTTCCAAACATCTGCTCTGTCAAACTCCTGCATGAAGTCCTTCAGATAAGAATTACCACTGGCTGAATGATGCTGAGACCATCTGCTAGACTATTGAAATGGTGTCTTCACAAGTCTTGGTAATAAATCAATCAGACAGTGGCAGCTCATCCAAAATGCTGTCACCAGAGTCCTCACTAACACCAAGGAAGTAGAGCATATTACACCGGTCCTTAAATCACTGCACTGGCTTCTTGTGCATCACAGGATTGATTTTAAAATATTATTACTTGTCTACGAGGCACTAAATTCCTTGAACGTTGTGAAGCATCCAGAACCCTGAAGTCATCTGGCAAAGGTTTACTCAGTGTCCCAGAATGAAGACCAAGCAGGCTGAAGCAGCTTTTAGTCTCATTGCTCCCTGTCTGTGGAACAAGCTTCCTGAAGAGCTGAGGTCAGCTAACACTGTCAGCTCATTATAATCAGGGCTTAAAACGTTACTGTTTACTGCAGCTTATTAATAAATTAAATCAGCAGGAGTTTAGTCATATGCTGCTTCTACAATGTCACTTCTTTTTAGTTAACTGTTTATTTGTTTTTTGGGCTTTTAGACTTTTTAAAATTGTCTTTTAAATTGACAATGAACGTGTTTGTAAGTCCCACACCAAAGCTGCAATGGTACGTTTGGTACTGGAACTTCTGCTGCTGGTACTCGACTGGAAGTCAATGGAAAAGGGAAAGAACCAAAAGTACCGTACCTGGTGCAGTGGAAAAGCACCCTGAATAAACTTCCCTTACTTTGCAATTGGATTCAAAGTCTACAGAGATAAAAAGTTCATGTAAATGTGAAAAACCAGGAGGCAGCGGGAGAGAGAGAGAGAGAGAGACGCTCCCCTAGCAGTAGAAAATGAAACACAGTAAAACACACTCCACCTCATACAGGGAGAGAGAAGTGTGTGTGTGAACAGAGTCACAGTGTAAGAATTCTGCTCTGGTCCTGGGCACTAATACCGGTACGACAGTATCTTTGGTAACTAGAAGGACACAGAGAGAAACAGGATGTGAGTAAAAGGAATTTACTTGTGGGAGATGGACTTCACTCACTGTGGAGATAACAGCAGTAGGGTATAATCATTGAGGGACAATAACAGGCATTTTAACAAACTGCAAACCATGGTAAGTTACACAATACAAATTTTTGGTTTCTATAATGTAGAAGAAACATGTTTCATGTGATCTGAGTTTTGCAGCCAGTAGGAATGTGAAGCTCTTTCACCAGTTATCACAAAGATTTAAACTTATTGAAAAGAAACTGACTTGGTCACACAAATGTGAGGCTGACTGTACTGCATACTCACTCTGCATGGTCTACATCAGGGGTGGCCAGTCTTACCCGCAAAGGGCCAACGTCTATGCAGGTCTTTGGGATAACCTTTAGGTCAGCTATTCAACCCCAGGTGTGAGGACTCTTCAGCCAATCAGTCCTCTAATTAGTAATCCGGCAAAAGCCCACAGACAGCAGCCCTTTCTGGGTAAGATTGGCCACCCCTGGTCTATAGTAACATGAACAAACTAGAAAATGTATTAACCTGGGTGACGGATCTCTGCCATTTTCATTCTGCAAACATTCTCCAGTTGATCTTTCAGTTCAGAAATCACCTTGCTCAAATTCCCAAAATCAGATCTTGGACTGGCAGAGATTCTGGGTCCAAATCCAGCTTCAGGGGTGACAGGAAGAGCCTGGTGCCTCTACAGACACACAGTCTGATTAAACAGCTTCATCAATACAAATGTGTATTGCAATCTAATTAACAGGACCTTTAACATCTGACAAATGAAAGACTAGTTGAAATACAATGACAATATGCATTCATTTGAATTCTCTGGTTTTCTTATTGCCAAAGTAGCTGTTCTGTTACCTGGAGGAAATGGATGTGATCCTCTGTGTGTGAAAGCTGCTCCAGCTCAGAGTGTCTCCTCTTCAGTTCATCAATCTCCTGCTTCAGTCTCTCCATGTCTCCTTCAGCCTGACTCACTGCAGCCTTCTCCTGATCTCTGATCAGCTTTGTCACCTCAGAGCGTCTTCTCCCAATGGAAAAGATCATCTCAGTGAAGATCCTCTCGCTGTCCTCCACTGCTGACTGTGCTGAACTCTGTTGGTGACACAGGAAGCAGAGGACGGTAAATTACAATTGGCCCCTTTTGAGACTCCAGAGAGCCTCATCGTACAATAGAGATGTGAGCTGACAGGAGGTATAAAAACAGCACAGGGCTGGGGTTTGGAGCGTCACGGTGCTGGATGCCTCAGGTACTGAAACCCAACCAGCACTGATTGGAAATGATCTCTCATTAAGCTCATACACTGTCAGCTGCAGGGATTTGGAAGAGACTGGTGGCTGTATGGGGCAGGTTGGTTGTCAGTATTGGGTCTCAGTTTAATGTGACTTTTTGGTGTTTCTTTGCATTTCACAATTGTATGAAAAGTCACCATTTATCAAGAGGAATGCCATTTAAGGGCCAATTGAGAAAGTCCAGTGCCATCATCCCCCCCCCGGTAGAACCCTGGTTCATTATATCCCACAGTGACCTTACATTAAATAAACCTTAAAGGACTTAAGTCGCCCGTCTTGGAAGAGCCTCGATTCAAGCCTGCAAAGGTTCCTACAAGCCAGCTGTTATCATCTCTTCAGGTTCATACTCACTGTGAATGAGCCCACAGCCTCTCTCAGCTCCTGCAGCTCCTTCTCTCTCATCTGAATTCTCTGCTGAAATTCCCTCTGTGATTCACCCATTTCTTTCTACAGATAGGAAACAAGATGACAAAACAAGTTTGTTTCATTAGCTGAGATCACATTCATTAATCATCCTGTCCAGGGTGGACCCCAGCCTTGGGCCCTATGCTGCCTGGGAAAGGCTCCAGACACTCCCCCTGAGCCTGACCTGGATTACCGGTTAGGAGATGCATGGATGGATATTTGTTTTATTGACTGTAGGTAAGATAAACTTGATGAAGTCCCTCTGACTTATATTCCAAGTGAAGGATGTGATTGTCAACCTGAAGTTCACATACTGTATATAATTTATACACTTAGTTGCCACTTTATTAGGTGCAACCAGCTAGTACCCAGTAGGACCCACTTCTCCAGAACCACTTCATGTGTAGATTAGATATGTGTGCAGAGCAAACCACGGTTTTAATTCACTGTTATCATTGTATTTGTGGCCTCCTGTTAGCTGTAGTTAACACGTCTGGCCATTTTCCTCTGACCTCCCTATTTATCAAGGTTTTGTTTGCCCACAGAACTGCCACAGTCCGGTTGGGTTCGTGTACTGCAGCATCCCCCCCCCTACAACTCTTGGCATTAACAATCACACCATACAGTATTTAAAGCCACACACATCTGAGCCATTAAAATTCACTGTTTGAAGCAGTTTTCAGTAGGACTTCAGTCAGAACTTTTTCCACTTTATAGTAACACCCTGACACAGGTTTGCCCCATTGAGAAAACAGCTACTGGTAAAAGTGAAGGTGCAAAAATTTCTCTTTAATCAGCTCCAGGACATTTTCAGTGACTCATTTTCTGTGCATTTTCTTTCCATGTTACAAACTCAGCTTTATCACAATCTCTCTCTTTTTAATGCAAACTTATTCACATGCAACAAAAACAATTTTTACTTTATATGAAATTCATCATCGTTTCCAGTCTGACCTGTTTATCTGCCTTTCCTGCAGCAGCTGAGACTGTATCATGGCCTCTGTGTTCATCCATCACACACAGAAGACAGATACACTGCTGGTCGGTACGGCAGTAGATCTCCAGGGGTTTGTCATGGTGGGAACAAATCTTGTCCTGCAGACGTCCAGTGACATCAGTCAGCTTGTGCTTCTTAAAAGCTGGAGACTCATAGTGAGACTGGAGGTGAGTTTCACAGTAAGAGGCCAGACACACCAGGCAGGACTTGACAGCTTTGTGTTTTCTCCCAGTACAGAAATCACACTCCACATCTCCAGGTCCAGCATAATGGTCAGCAGGAGTAGCTTCTTGTATTCCAGTCTTCTTCAGTTTCTCCACCACTTCAGCCAGTATGGTGTTTCTGCCCAGAACAGGTCTGCGTATGAATATTTAGAAAATCATCTCATGTCCCACAGATGTCTTGAAAAATGTAAACATCAGTGCTAGATGGCAGCAGAGGACGGCGTCCAGGGAATATTCTTCAATTTTTGTGACCATTTTTGATAGAAGGGGTGATCTGTTTGTTATAATAGAACAGGGTATATTCTTGAAATTCAATGGTAAACGTAAATCATCTGCCCCACGGACCTTAATCACTGAACTCCAGCGAAAATATATTAAGTTTAAACTGATTACTCTCTCTTTGGAATATGCTGGAAAGATTTTTATAATGAAATTCAAACACACACAGCTTCTGTCTTACCTCTCAGTTCCCCTTGTTTTACACCCCACAGGGGGGCTCATTTCAGAAGCAGCTCCCTCCATTTCTGTGCCGATCCAGACCAGATGACTCCTGCAGGGGTCTCTCTGAACACAAAGGGTAAATATATACATACATACTTACATACATAATATCCACGACTCAGAGCCGTCAGTAGAGCAGTGCAACCGCCATGCCACCCAAAAAGGAAACTAATGATTTTTTTCCCCATTAACTGTATGCAACCACATTTCATCTGAGTGTCATTTTGGCTAAATATTAGGAGTGTAACGGTACATGTATGGACTGTGTACTGTCTAGTACATAATGTTCAGTCCGGTATGCACAATGAAAAAACAAATACATTTACTGACAGGGGCAGAGCCTGAATTCACAAGTAGATGTTCAACATGGAAACATTATTCTTAGATTTTGCTATTCAGACACCTGGACAGACGCATGCATTTGGATTGCAACTGTTCCTAATTGTGTTGTGTTTGCAGTTCTAATAAAACATAATTCCAAAATAATTTCTGTTTTTCCTGCTGTACTGAAATTACACCGCATCCTAAACCATTGCTGTCAGGGTCAGCCCCTGTTGTCTCACTCTGTGTCCCTTCCCCGTTTGGCCAGCAGGCATTGCTGGTCATCCCGTCCTTCATGTTTGTCTTTGAGTGTCCTCTGTTCTGTTGGCCTCATGGCTCACCACCTTGAGCGTCTGGTTGTCTTTGTACCATCTGTCCTGTGTTTGAATCCCGCCT